TATATATATATATAGTATGTACCATGCACATAATGTTAATCTATGAAACGTCTTCACCTATGAATCCTCAGAGTGTGGCAGTACTGGAGCGATGAGGACCAGTGGATCTGAGATCAGTCAGAGCCAGAACAGCACCAGCAGCAGTAGCCAGTGCTTCTCCAACCCCAGTTACCACACCGTCGCCCAGTGTAACGTGGTCTCAACCATTTCCAGCAACCTGGACGGCACTCTGACGCTCAAAGTATGAGCACTCAACGTATGGCTTGGCACAACATTTAATACATCGCAGCTTGAATTACAACTGTTCTCCCTTTTGCAGTCAGGCACGTTGAAGGGCAGAAACAGCTCTGAATGGAGAGCCTACTGCAGTCGTAATGACATAGGTCAGTGACGCTCTCTTCCTTTATGCCACACCACATGCAGGCTGAGTTTGGACTTGGGAGCGGAAAATGAGCAAAAGTGTCGATTCAAGGGCGAAGACGCATGTGCCATTAATGCAGACCTTTTATCGGCACCAGCCTGCTGTGAATGAGGATGAACCAGGGGTCTCTTGTTAAACATGACCTTTGCTCTGATTTTGATAAGATATGCTGGTGGGACGGAGAGAGTACTGGTGCAAAGATGATTGTGGGGGTCACTGTGAGCTCATTAGTCCTCCTTTGCTTCCCAGAGTGGCGATGATGGCTTACACTGGGTCAAACACTGCACATTTACAATGTTAATTATAGAAAATCCTATATGAAAGTAGGAGCAGTTTACTCAGCATACTAGGAATGTATGTAAAGGATTATGGGGTTCCATTTGTTTCAAAAATACGTAGAACTCTAACGTGTAGATGTGTCGTTGCTATGTGTCGTTGGTCTATGTTGCATGTAGATGATGCATATGTAAATGTTGCATATGTGTTCGCTGCATATGTAGAAGTTGCATATGTGTTCGCTGCATATGTAGAAGTTGCATATGTCTATGTTGCATATGTGTTCGCTGCATATGTAGAAGTTGCACATGTCTATGTTGCGTATGTGTTCGCTGCATATGCGTTTGATGTCGTTGGTCCATGCTGTTGGTTCATGTTGTTGGTCCGTGTGGCTATTGCCTGTTCTCTTCGCCATTAAAAAGTCTTGAAGTAGGTCATATATGATCCTTTTTTTATTAGATATTACAAAAATGTTGGTCTTTCAATATCAGTGGTTTCAATAAAATTGTTTTCAAAATGCTTAGATTTCTACCTCGTATTTTCTTTAGGCATTAGTCAGGGCAGCTAAGGAGGTCGAGGGATCCTGGCCCACTGAAGGGGGCGCTATTTCCCATAGCTCTGCGGCCTTCAGATTTTCTTTTATTTTTTAATCTGCGATATATCTTCATTTCATTTTAAGAATGATTTTCACCCTCTGTATGTTTTTTTAACTTCTCTCTCTTATTTTCTTCAGCGCAGCTCACAGTTTTAAGCAAATTCTGTAGTTTTCGGCATACTTCTAAATCTGCTACTTAGTCACATCTCTTTGGGCCTTCTACTGCCTCTAGTGGCGTGATGATGGTAACACAACTAATGTTATTATATTACCAAGTCAAAATGCCACAAAGTCTTCATTATTTATTCTGGCATTAGGATAATAATAATAATAATAATAATAATAATAATAATAATAATAAT